TGTGTGTGTGAGTGTGTGTGAGAGAGAAAGATCTGCAATGTGAAACAGTAACAAACACTTTAGTGAGAAAAGCACGTCCCGGCCACAGTGAGAAAGGGCAAAATGACGATACGAGAAAACCAATGGCTATATTCAAGAGAAAGCTGACCGCCCACGCACACACACACACACACACACACACACACAAACACACACACACACACAAACAAACACACACACACACACACACACACACTACCTTTCATCAAAAGCGCATACAGGTACATATCTCTGAACTCAGGATTCCGTTGACGTACACAGTACGTGAGCTCACAACGGCACCCTCACTCTAACAATTTCCAGAAATGGAGTTACAACATCCCACCAACGAAAAGACAGGTAAAACTGACACTATCTGAAGCCTCCAGTAACACAAACATACATGCTCCTATTCATGTACATCCTGGCATAAAAAATGTCCAGCTTCATGACTAACAGTAACCACTAGACTACATGAAGACAACGTATGCAACTTCTTTTTTTCCGGAGTCAAGTCTGGAGCAGACGTTGACGATCCTGGTATCATTATTCTTTTCTGTTGTGCTGTTTGTCATAAAGCCTGGAAATCAGTGTCAGCTATTTATGTCTTTCTCCGCTCTTGTTTCACTTTTTTAAAGCAGCACTTTCGGAAGTCAATTTGTTCTAATGCTTCTGTACATGACAAAAGGAACAAAAGTTCATAATTATCTCTGTCTGACGGCTCTGATTGAGACCTTTAACTTCTTTGCATAACTTTAAATAAAATACATGTAATATTTTATTGATTTCCATAAAGAGAACCAGATCTAGGCGTCACGAAGCGGTGGAAACAGGCGCCCGTCAATTTTTTAACACATGGAGTTGTTATTGTCGTAATGTTAAAGTCTATTCACTTGTTTTGTTTTTGTTTAAAAAGTGTTCATCTATCTTGAATAGGAGTTGAGATATTTGCAATTGAAGGACGTGGGGATCGCCTGGTTTCAAATGCAAAATGGCCGCCAGAATTTGAAGACTTCCACTGCTGCTGTGTCCATGAAAATTTCCGTCTAGGAGAAGAGAAGGAAATTCTTCTATAGCCTTTCCAAAGAACCCATCTCTCAGAACCCGAGAGCCTAATTAATATTAGGTCTCCGACACCAAAATAGACATCTTGTAAATCCCACTATACACATCCCACCAGGTTATCACGTCCTCGAATCAACCCGTTTAATAAACATGCGCTGAGCTTTAAAAGAATGCTGAACTTCATCATAAGAGATTTTTTTAATGTTTTAATATCATATTGATTCTCAACTGGTAGGGATTAAGTTTTCACTCGGTTCTGTGCGTCTCTCTCTCTCTCTCTCTCTCTCTCTCTCTCTCTCTCTCTCTCTCTCTCTCTCTA